TCCTTCCTGTCCTTCTCCGCCTGTCTTATCTGAGGCAGCTGATCCATCACCTGGCGGCTCACGGAGTCGGGGCTCCTGGCTTCCTGAGTCCTCAGCTTATGAGACCGTCGTGAAGAATTTTCTGATTGCGTGTGCATTTTTAATGCGGCCTGCCTTTTGGCCTTTCAGCCACTACGCACTTCATTCATCAATGTGCCTGGCCTAAATGGAGCCACTGCCTTTGCCTTCGTCGCCGCCACCGCCGCCTCCATCCCGCCAAGACAAATGATGATGTGTATCCAGATTCGTTTTCGACATTTCCCTTTTGTTTTACTCGGAGCTGACCTCCTGCTCCACGTCCTCTTTTTTTGGTTTTACTCTTCCGGAGTTCGCTGGCTTTCCTGCAGAGGTTTGCCACGCAGTTAAAGAGTCTTTTCCAGGTCTATAAAATATAAAGTAAAGATGTATGGTATTTATATTAAACCTTTCTGGGAAATCATTTTTGGTGTTATAGGTAGTAGCTAGTATATATACTATTATATATTATCTCTAAGAAATTATTTATGCTAAGAATATTGTTTTGATAAGAGATTATGGTGATTATAAAATAATGTTTTTCTTCGTTGGTTAAGATAAATTATATTTAGGAATAATTAGACGCTATTATTTATGAGAACTAAACGAACCCGACTATTTATATTAAGTAGTTTCTTGCATACATGATTTAGTACATGTACAATGTAAATTAATATACAACTAATTTAATTAATTATTGTGAATCGGTTAATTTAAATGGGAAATTAATTTTATACATGTAACTTTGCTAGAAAAGGTTCATATTAATACGATTTATTTTGTCCTAATTTAAGATTATTAAATTAATTTATAGAATATTATTTTTAAATATTTTTTAAATAATATTAAATTAATTTATAGAATAATACTTTTAATTTTTAATATTACTTTTAGCTGTTTATAATTTTTTTTTAGGAAATATACATGCGATTCCTTTTGAATATTCACTCGTATGTATCTCCAATGTAAACAAAGTAAGGGTATTCCGATTTCGGCCTCCGGGGACTGGATTCCTTTGAGCTCGCAGTGCTTTCTTTGATTTTTATAAATTTTAGATGGCACACGCCTTTCGCCTTTGCCTTTGCCATCGCATCGCATCGCCTTCACCTGCGTTTCTGTTCCTGTGCTGCTCACTAATGAAATACACTTGCCAGAAAAAGTATGCGTACAAATATTTTCCGCAACTTTAGAGCTTAAAAAAACGTCTTAAAAAAATTCGTAAAAATGTCATTTTAATTTTAACATTTAGTACACATATTAAGCTTTAATTTGACGTAACTTATTAATTTCTAGCACCTTTACTTTTCCTAATATAAATAAAAATGTACAAATTGGCCGGATTTCGCATCAGAAAAAGTATGCGTACAAATGCATATGGTATTAGAAAAAGCCATATTTTGGGCAAAGTACGTCGAGTTTAGTACGGAGTTTGATACCCTTTATGTTTTATAACTTCAGTCTACATATTCGTCATCGATTGGACCAATGTCCTTGCATCCATCGCCGTTATTTGATTCCATTCCTCGACATTGAGTTTTTTCAGGATATCCTTGGATGCAAGGGTCTGAAGGCGAGTCCTGCCCTCCAGGACATCACAAAAATGCTTTACGGGATTGATATATACTATTTTGATGGCGAATGTAGCTGTTTTACACATAAAAGCTTTGTTTTGTGGGCGCAATGTTTAGGTTCGTTGTCCTCTTGGTACCAAAAGTCCTTTTCGAGTCCCACTTTCAGGACGCTTTAATTTCTTGTCTTAAAGTGCATAAAACAACCAACAAAATGAGGTATCGTTTATTAAAATCGGTCAACAACTTAACGAGAAATGGGTATAAAAACTTTCTTATTTAGATAGAAGGTTAGTTTTTTTTGAAATTCGTATGAAATTCGTGCATTACGCCAAAGCAGTTGTTTGTTTGGTTATATGGCTAGCCATTTCTCGTTAAGTTGTTGACCGATTTTAATAAACGATACCTCATTTTGTTGGTTGTTTTATGCACTTTAAGACAAGAAATTAAAGCGTCCTGAAAGTGGGACTCGAAAAGGACTTTTGGTACCAAGAGGACAACGAACCTAAACATTGCGCCCACAAAACAAAGCTTTTATGTGTAAAACAGCTACATTCGCCATCAAAATAGTATATATCAATCCCGTAAAGCATTTTTGTGATGTCCTGGAGGGCAGGACTCGCCTTCAGACCCTTGCATCCAAGGATATCCTGAAAAAACTCAATGTCGAGGAATGGAATCAAATAACGGCGATGGATGCAAGGACATTGGTCCAATCGATGACGAATATGTAGACTGAAGTTATAAAACATAAAGGGTATCAAACTCCGTACTAAACTCGACGTACTTTGCCCAAAATATGGCTTTTTCTAATACCATATGCATTTGTACGCATACTTTTTCTGATGCGAAATCCGGCCAATTTGTACATTTTTATTTATATTAGGAAAAGTAAAGGTGCTAGAAATTAATAAGTTACGTCAAATTAAAGCTTAATATGTGTACTAAATGTTAAAATTAAAATGACATTTTTACGAATTTTTTTAAGACGTTTTTTTAAGCTCTAAAGTTGCGGAAAATATTTGTACGCATACTTTTTCTGGCAAGTGTATGAATAATTAAAACTGTGTTTTCTTTTTGTTCTACTTCATTTGGAGTTCATTATTTTTGGCTCACTGCATTTGGCCCCGCTATTTGACTTTTGGCCTCGCCCGCGTTGTCATCATGGTGAAGGGATTCCGTGAATTCCGTGAATACCGGCTAATTACGCCGGAACAGAGCCAATTATTCCGCCAATTATTTATGCAGAAGCTTGATGCTTCTTCTTGCCAAAGCGATCAGTGTTGCACAACGTGCGGGAGCTATCGAATACGAAGTACTCACTCTTGAGTGGGAGTTATCGAACGCAAAAGTACTCATTTCAAATTGGAAGTTATCGAACGCACGTTCTTCTTACACAATCCTATATTCTAATAACAAATTAAACAAAGAAAAATGCAAATATTTGTGGAGTTTAAAGCACCAATTGAAATATAAAATAATTTAATTAATAATTATTAGTTTTCATTAAACATAAAATTAGAATCTTTTTAATAAGTCCAACTGTACCAATTTTAGCATCAAGCTTTGTATATTTAATTCAATTTTAATTTCTATTAAAAGTTTTATAGATATTTTAACCTGGGTAAAAATAGAGTTCACCGCATTCATTAAACACAGAATTAATTCCATCAGAAAACTAGTCAAAAGTTTACTTATTTTTAATCCTTTCCGTTTCATGTGTCACAAAAACTCCAAACAAACCCCAAAATTCTGAGCTCATCGTTTGTTGTCCACCAGGATCTGTTGTTGAAATTGCTAAATTACAGCTAGGATGGCGGAAGCAAATCCAGTAGCAGGATCAGGATCAGGAGGAGGAGGAGGATCCAAAGAGGAGCCCGACAGCAGCTGGTGCCTCATCGAGAGCGACCCGGGGGTCTTCACCGAACTGATTCGGGGCTTCGGCTGCACGGGCGCCCAGGTGGAGGAGATCTGGACCCTGGACGCCGACGCCTTCCACCACCTGGAGCCCATCCACGGCCTGATCTTCCTGTTCAAGTGGGTGCAGGACGACAAGCCCGCCGGTCGCGTGGTGCGCGATCGGAGCGACATCTTCTTCGCCCGCCAGGTGATCCCGAATGCCTGTGCCACGCAGGCCCTCCTCAGTCTCCTGCTGAACCTCCGCCACCCGGACGTCGATCTGGGCGACACTCTGAACGGCTTCAAGCGCTTCTGCCAGGACCTGGACCCCGTGACCCGGGGCCTCTGCCTGAGCAACGAGGAGAAGATCCGCCAAGTGCACAACTCCTTCGCCCGACCCGTGCTCTTCGAGCTGGACATGCGGATGGCGCCGCCGGACGAGGATGTCTACCACTTCGTGGGCTACATGCCCATTAGGGGCCGTCTGTTCGAGCTGGACGGGCTGCACGAGGGTCCCATCGAGCTGGCCGAGATCGGCAGGGACCAGAACTGGCTGGACGTGGTGAGACCCATCATCGAGGCCCGCATGCAGCGCTACAGCGTCGGGGAGATCCACTTCAACCTGATGGCCCTGGTCTCGGATCGCCAGCGGAGCTACGAGCGGCAGATCCAGCTGCTCGTCCACCAGCCGTCGCCGCTGAGCCACTCGGAGCGGCAGGCGGAGATCGCCAGCCTGAGGACCTACGTGAGATTCGAGCAGGACAAGAAGCGCCGCTACCGCCAGGAGAACCTCCGGCGGCGCCACAACTATCTGCCCTTCATCGTCGAGCTGCTGAAGCAGCTGGGCGAGACCGGCCAGCTGATGCCCATCTACGAGAAGGCCAAGCAGCGGGCCATCCAGAGCCAGGTGTCCAGGTGCGCCGGCCTTAAGCTCAAGGAAGCCCAAGGACAGTGATTTCAATTTTGAAGTCATCTTAACCGGTCTTATATTCTCTGGAAAAATCTCCGAGTGTTTCCGCTTATCTCAGCAGGTATTTAAAATATACCTATCGCTTTTCGAATAAATTAAATTAAATGTACAATACAAAATCCCTTTTAATCGGTTGAAAATTGCAACGGCAACATAAAAACATTCAAAAATGTTCTAAAATTAAGTGACCTATCGATTTAAAGTTTTTCTAATCGTCATGAAGTAAGTGATAAGTAGATTAAGATTAATCTGTATTTTAAAATACCAAACACACTGCCGTAGCATAATTTGTCTTAATAAAAAAGATAACTATGTGAGAAGTTGGTTTTTCAGAAACTAATGAAACGGTTGATAGTAATTAGGATTAAAGTAGAATTTGAGTTATCGACTACAATCGATTGATTGGCCATCCCTGGTAAGCGGCATCGTTTTGAAAGAGATATAAGAAGAAGACAATATTTTTGTTTACTAGTTTTAAGCTAACCGAATCGTTGGAAATTTCGTGGAAAATGGTGTTCTACTTGGAGCACGTGCTCACGGGCGATCAGGTTTTCCTGCTCGAGGGCGTAAACACTCTGGGACGCCACTCCACCTGCAGCTGGATAATGAAGTACGACTATATGTCCCGATTCCACGCCATCATCCTGGTGAAGCGCGGTCAGATTTTCATCAAGGAGCTGGTGAGTTCCTCTATGCGATTGAAGAACCCATGCTAATCCTCTGCCAACCCCAAAGGAAGCCCTCAATGGCGTGTTCCTGAACTATTCGGAGGAGCGAATAGGATTGGGATTGCGGGAGATATCCGTGGGCGACGACCTGTCCTTCGGGGTCAAGGTGAACGGCGACGAGGAGCTCGAAATACCGACCTCTTTCGGTATCTTTACCGTTAAGTCGAAGGAGCCGGACTCCACCGATCCCATGGACGAAAAGCCGATCCTGGATGAACGTACGGAGCCGGACTCCACCGATCCTCTGGGGGAAGACCCCAAACTGGATTATCCCACAACTGAAATGGAAGGCCAAGAAACTAACGACATCGAAGAGCCAGAAAAATTACACTAATCCGCGGAAACACAAATGCAAATGCCGCACTTAAGGCGTTAATTTCTCCAGCCCGATAAGACCAACTAAAACTGGAGGCCTTGCATTCAAATGGACTGCAAGGAGCTCATGCAATTCCACAAAAACTCTTCACAGTTGCGGCTGACATAATAGGTTTAGTTAAGAAAATAATTATTAGCAAATGTTTACTATAATTTTCGCTCTATTCAAACTTTAATTTTTTTTTTAGATTTTATGTAGTTTTTCTATTTCAACTTTAATTTGTTTTTAAGATTTTCTCACTTATATATTGACTTTTCAATACGTAATTATTTTCTTGGTATTGTTATTTTTTGAATTGATTCACTTAAACAAATTCAATTAACTTGTATTAAATAGTGTAACAAAAAACTACAAATGTACATGTATGTGCATATATACTCTATATCTATTTTTTTTGCGGCTGACAAAATAGGTTTAGTTAAGAAAATAATTATTAGCAAAAGTATCCTATAATGTTGGCTCTATTCAAACTTTAATTTATTTTTTAGATTTTCTGCTATGTTTACTTTTCAATATGTATTTTTTCTATTCCAACTTAATTTTTTTAAGTTTTTCTTCTTTTTATAATTACTCTCCAAAATTTAGATTATCTATTCCAACTTTAATTTTTTAAGATTTTCTTACTTATATATTGACTTTTCAATACGTAATTATTTTCTTGGTATAGTTTTTTTTTTTATTGATTCACTTAAACAAATTCAATTAACTTGTATTAAATAGTTTAACAAAAAACTACAAATGTACATATATGTATATACTCTATATCTATGTTCGACTTCTTATTTGAAGTTAACCAATTCATTTAAGTATAGAAAACTTATACCACAAAATTGATGAGTAACTAATAATAATACACTAAACTGATTTTTCTTGTAATTGTTAAGAACAGAGAATCAAAACATAGATTATTTTATTGCACTTTAAAAACTATATTATATTAATTAAGAGTTCCTTTGTATGAACTAATATTTCTGTCGCAGCTGTAAAATTCGCTATCTTACTAGCATCGTGCAATCCTTAATGCTTTGTTATTTGTAGCCGACAATAAAGCCTGTAAATATGCAAAGAGATGGGGGCTTTCGGAGTTTTGGAAGGCTGTATTATGACAAAAACCGCAATTGGAAATTCGGCATGGACCACATCATCATCATTATATCCCAGCAACAGCAAGTGCACACTGCTCTTAGAATTTTAATTACCATTGCACTGAGAAAAAGAAAAAAGCTTCAGTTTTTTCAAGCTCAAAAATATAATTATAATAAAGGAGATTTAATTTTGAAACATAAAAACCTATTTTTGATATATTTTGTTGTTATCTTTGCTATTCTTGTTATTTATTTAACAAAAACGTTTGTAGTCTCCTAGCTTTGGGCATATTATTTATAACATTATATATATTGTATAGACTATTTATTTCAATTTAAGATATGAAACTATATTTATATTTTTTTATTTTATAAGATGGTAAACAATTTCTATTTCTGATTCAATTTGAATAACATCTGAACTAAATTATGCTTAAAGCACCATCATATTCCACTTTCACCTAAAACGAGCCCCTTTTTTGCTGCTGACTTGTGTCGAAAGTTTATAAATATATCAGATGGCTTTGCGTATTATGAAAGTTAGACTGTTTTGCGATAAACTGTGGAGGCTTAAGGGATACTCCGGAGTGCCCTGTCCTAATTGTAACGCTTTTAGTGTCGTCGCCCCTGACTAATTTGTCACTTTTGTTGTCGCCTCGACGGGACTTTGGATTTTCTATTTGTTTTTCGTATTACGTTGCCATTTTTGGCAGTTTTTTGCCTTTTGTGTGAGGCAGGCGAAACCCTTTTCAAGGGCAATTTTGTATTCAAATGATGTTTGACTCGCTGTCCGACCCCCTTTATCTGTCTCGCCCCCCCTCTACTCACTTAGCCGCTGTACGTGTTTGGTGTGCACTGCCCCTTTTTCCATTTTACCCAATTTTCCGAGCACCCCGTGGCCCGGACCTCCCCCATCCCCTCCGGAGTTCTCGTTCGCACGTAATTAGCTGTTAATTTGGACCACCACTTGGCAACCGGGCGTGGAATTTACTTTGTAACTTCTCCATGTTTCGGAGCAGGAATGAAATGGGGGCAAAGCGCTTTTGATTTGCCACAGGAGACATGGGCTGCGCAAAGTTTATTAGCAGTGCTGTATTTTTCAATATGTTTGCTTTTAATTGGTAAGCCTTTCGAGTTGGCATGGTAGATACTTATTTCTGATTCTACTAGAAGTTTTCAAATGTATTCATCACGTGTTCTAAAATTTGTTATTAAGATGTTTATTAAAACAGTATTTTACTTATTATTTTTACACACGAAAATATAACTACAAATAAAAAGATAAATTAAGAATGAATCCTTCTTAAAAACTAAAAGATTATTTAGTATTCTTGATCATTTTAAACATTATTAATTGATATGTTTGTTAAAATAATATTTTACTTAATCTTTTTACACTTTAAACGAAAGAAGACTCCAAAGTATACAGATAAATAAGGAAGGAAAATTCTTGATTTCACCTATTATTTTTACATTTTAAATTAAAAAGACTCTAAAATATAAAGATAAATAAGGAATAAATCATTCTTGATTTTACTTATTATTTGTACACATTAAACGAAAAAAAATATCAAATAAGAAATTAAGGGCAAATCATTCTTGAAAACCAAAAGATCGTATATACATATGTTATAGACTATGGAGTACAAAAATGCAAAGGCTACAAAATTTTGACACAAGGACTATGAACAATAAACCTAACATGTATTTTTAGGTATGTAAATACGTTTGTTAAACGTAAAATGGACTTAATAAAGTTATATCCCGAACTTTATCCGTAGGAAGCTAATTATAAATATTGAAAAAAAACCTAAATATGTGAGTAATCAATACTACATAAGGAAAGCTACGACTTAGGGCGTCAGATCCTTGACCACATCGTCCACGAACTGCTGGAACATGGCGGTGGCCTCCTCGTCGGGGGCGGACATGATCCCCTCGAGAATCTCCCAGTTGAAGTGCTCATTGAGCAAGCCCCTCTTGAGGACGTAGGCGGGCATCTTGATGTCGAAGTAGCGCAGCTTCCAATGGGAACGCTTCCGCGGAACGCAGATGCGGTTGGTGACGATCTCGTCGTCGTCTATTTCGAAGACATTGCGCTCCTCGCGCTCCTCCTCCGGCGGTTCCGCTGGACTCTTCGCCGGCGGGTCGTTCTTCTTGCCCCGCAGGCGGCGCTTCTTCGGCGACGGCGGACGCGGATTCGATTCCGGCAGGCGGTTGGCCATCTTCCCCGACCAAATCCTATGCAATTCCTCCAGCGACTTGCGATCCCCGAGGCTCAGTTCTCCCAAGTCGTCGCGCAGTCCCTCCATCACGCTGGCCATCAGTTCCTGCGGGAAGCGGCGCGACTCCGGTATAAAAACGCCATCGGTGGGCAACAGCTTACTCAGGCGACCGGCCATTGGGATATATGGAATTTCTCAAATCTTCTCCGAAAAACTTAACTTCACTTCTTGCGAAAAATAGCGCCTAATAGAGATGGGACGCTCGGAGATGATTCCGCAACCGATAGATCGATACCGTGGTTATCGATGTTTCGTCTTGAGCTTTCATTTTTTTAATACACCGAAAAATATTTAAAAAAATACCAACAACTTTAGTATATTTGCTATAGAAATTAAAAAATTTAGGCAAGGGAATATTTAGACTTTCAAGAGCTGAAGGCTGAAGGACTTTCATTTAAACTTAGCCTTATATAAATAAATATATATGAAAGGGAAGGACACAGTAAAGTAATAATTTGTCTATGTTAATTAAAAAAAGTTATTTTTTTGTATGTATAATGTGTACATATATTTAAGGTCAGAGAAGTCACTTAAGACTCGAGTCAAAAGAACCTTTAAATTTACTGAAAAACAGAGATAAGCATTTGCGGTTGGAACGCAATTCGTTGAACTTCATAGGGTCTTTAAAAATAATTAAAAACATAATAAAATGTTCCAACTGATAATAAAAGCTAACTGATGGTTCCTGAATCACGGGTATTAAGAAGTATAAATTCGAATCGTAAGTATATTTAGAAATTAATCATTCTTGTATTAAAATTAAAATTTTTTATACGTTTGTGCAGCATTAAGCAAAATATGCGGCTCACAGGGATTTGGGCCTTATCATCATTTCGGCAAAGGTTAGCGAGATCGTATAGGTATAGTCATGCCATGAAGCCCAATTAATTCCATTTTTTTCGTCACTTTGGCCATTTTTATAGTACTGTCCATTGAGCGAACTGTAATTTAAAGAGGTTTTATAAATAAAATGTAATTTAATTGGTATTGAGCAGGCAAACCTTTGAGCACAGTCATTGTACCACCAACCACCGCATTTGTTACCGGCGCAATGTCTGGTATCCCTGTCATTATCCCGATCAAATGTGGAAAACTTATTACCAAGATGCATTGCAATGGAGTCACCGGCTTCTCCGGAGTACTTCCCCGTCTTCTTCAGCTCATACGACTCTGCTTCACTGCCAATTTGAAAGTCATCATAGCGAGCGTAACTGGTGGATCCGTCCACCTTGCCCAGCTTAATGTAGAGTTCGTGGGGTCGAGCGACGGTCATTCGATGTAGTTTCTCCAGGCCAATGAAAAATTCTCCCCTGATATTTCCAAATCCTTGTCTATAATCTGTCCAGTTCCTGTCGAAGTTCTCGGATCCGTCGAAACGTCTCTGGATTACCGTCCAACCGGCTGCAGAGGACACACAGGGCACCTTAAATGGCTCCATTCCCCGAGGTTTTATTTGGTAAACCTCATTCGCTCCGCCACTGGGACATGTGTCCGGAAAATCAGACTCACGGCACTCCGAAAGCTGTTTGGATCTTTCCGATAGCGTTGTCTCAAGCGATTTAATGTGGTTCCGTAGGTCCGAGATGTTTTCATCTTTCACACTCATAAGTATATCTTTTACTTCGATTCGATCCTTCGCATTTTTCAACTGACTCTGTAAGTCCTCAATGGTCTTTCTCAATTCAGCTTTGGCTTCGTCGGCATTTTTCACGAAATAATCAAGAATAGGCTTAAAGATCGAAAAACAATAACTGTTGGATTTGTTTTCAGCACTCTCATAAATGGATTCCTTTGATACATCCTTGATTGAGTTTGCACCAGCTAAAGGATGTTCTTTCAGAAGGAAAAGGAAAAGAACAATCACTACAAGCCCGGATTTCATTGCGAACGAGAGCAGCGTCAATTCAAGACTAATTTTAAATAAACAAAGCAGAAACCATATACCTACAATATATATAAACAGAGATAAGAAGTGAGAGATTGAGATTGCAAAACATCGAAATCGGCCGACCATTTACTGAACTGAATCATCAATTCTACTCTTGCATAGGCAAAAATTATATTACAAAACTGGACTACCAGTTATGTATTCATGACATTTTCAACCATTTATAGAAAAAGTTTGTACATAAGGTAGAGCTTAAATAAATGTCGAAAATATCGATCATTTTTAAGCTCTAACATAAGGAAGGCTTTAATTTTAAAATTTAACTTACAATCAAAATGTATTCCAAATATTTTTCAAAATTCCAAAGAATGTCTGTTATAAACTGACGCTCAATGTAGAAGAATTACTAATATTAGTTAGAATTTATAATTTATTGGTCATAAAATATTTATAAGGAGAATCTATTTGATAAAAAATAGAATTTAAGAAGAGTAGAACTCCAATAGTTAGAATTTATAATTTATTGGTCATAAAATATTTATAAGGAGAATCTATTTGATAAAAAATAGAATTTAAGAAGAGTAGAACTCCAAAATTATGTAAGTAGATATGCGATAGCTGATCAATGCCTTAAAGTGGCACTCAATGTAGAAGAATTACTAATATTAGTTAGAATTTATAATTTATTGGTCCCAAAATATTTATAAGGAGAATCTATTTGATAAAAAATAGAATTTAAGAAGAGTAGAACTCCAATAGTTAGAATTTATAATTTATTGGTCTTACAATATTTATAAGGAGAATCTATTTGATAAAAAATAGAATTTAAGAAGAGTAGAACTCCAATATTATGTAAGTAGATATGCGATAGCTGATCAATGCCTTAAAGTGGCACTTTAACGAGAACAGTGAGGGTGACAGACCGATTCAGTGTCATGTGAGACGTCACAGGGACCAAGGAAGAGTAAACATTGGGGCACTCCAACCCCATAAACCCCCTCCTGCAGTGCAGTGCCCCTAGAACCCCGGGAACCCACTGACAAGCAAATTACTTGACCGGGGCCACACCAACCACAAGTCAAGGTATGGCTGGCAACCGTTAACTTTGCAGCTAATTATAAATGAAATCCGATATCAAAAGGCACACGGAGACACGCCTTTGTGCACCATTCATGCACACACAAACACACGGGGGGTGTGGCCTTAGATAGAGAACCCTCCCTCCCATACACACACACACACACTTACACAAACCGCCGTCGAACACACAGACAATGTCAATTCATTTGGAGTTTTGGAAGTCCTGGTCTTGGAGTCCTGGAGTCCTGGAGTCCTACCGGCCGCCAGTCTGTGGTTCTCGGCAAACAAACAAATAATGAAAACAGCACAAAAGGGCGGGAAACGGGGAGAAAAGGCGGGGGGCGGTAGGCGATTGTGGGCGTGGGCCGAGAACAAAGTGGAAAATTCATAAAATGTCATTGTCGCTTTATTAAAACGCGCCAAAACCTTCACGATTCCCCACTTGCAGCGCCATTCTTCCCTTCTAACACACAAATGTACACTGAAATAAAAAATATAATGTAAAAAAAAGTGGTTTTTATAGGACTTGAATATATTCCTTTTTCTACAAGTGCAACAAGAATTTATCTCTAGTTTTATAAGGTACTTTGATATGTAGAAATGCTTAAAAACCATATAGTAATTAAGTATACGATTTTTTTCAATATTTTAACATTTTAGTAGTAGTGACATTTATTATAAATATATTATAAATATTATAAATAAGCTCTTATCAATAAAATTGTTCATATGTTACTGATATTTTACATCATAAGTTAATTTAATATATATATATAAATCTACATAAAAATACCAAATGCTTCTAACAATATAACCTGCATTCATCCAATTGTTCTGCAGACTATTTATGTGAGTGTACACACACATAGATGTCAGTGGCGGTACGACGCGGTGGGTGTTTCCAAAAGGGGGGTTGGTTGTCAGGGGCTGGGGGCTGAGTGGTGGGTGGGTGCTTTGGCAAATTGGGCGGACGGCGACGTTGTCTGCTTTGCCATCGACAGCTGTTGGCGTCATTTACAAAAGCTTTTTGGCCGTTTTATGGGATTTTGCAACAGTTTCATTTTCATTTTGCGCAGGGCGCACACACACACATCCAAGGGCAGGGGGAAGGGTGACGGGGGGCGGTTGGCATAGTGTGAGAAGGGGCGGGGGGGCATAGAAGGTCGCATAATGCCGCTATTAGAAGTTGCCGCCAAGCACTTGCTAACGCCAAAAGATGATGATGAGCAGCAGCAGCAAAAGCAATAGCAACAAGGACCATATGTGTGTACAGTGGCGGTCCCTAAAAGGTGATAGGTTAAACTTGGACCCAAAGCCGCATTTTTATACTACATAAGTAAGTAAAATATAAGGTATACTTTGTATTATATGCCTTTAACAAAAATAACTCAAATAAATAACGTATGCTATTTTTATTTTAGAAAATTCTTCAAAAAACCCCTTTCCATAACAATTTCCAAACGCCCCTCTACACATCTATGTATATGTGTGATGTTGCGACAACGATAATAGCTCCAACGTTTGTTGATTCGTTTGCCGTCTATGTATGTCTGCCTGCCAGCCCCAAAACCATTTTCCCCTGCCCATTTTCCAGGCGTCGTCATCGTCAGCGTCATATTTGAACTTTTAATATTGACGCCATTTAACACGTTCTGGTGGAAATTTTATAAATGACTCTGTCTGTCGCTGGCTCCCTACTTTTTGCCCTTTTGCACCCGCGAGTGAACACCGAGTGAACACCCTGTGAACCCCCTGTGAGCCCCCTGTGCGCCCCCTGTAACCGACAACCTTCGATCCCCATCGACAACGCGACAAGGAACAATGATGATAATGATAGTGCCGATGATGCTGATAGCGCTGATTATGCGGCTGATTTGGGCTGTGAGTAGTGTGCGAATGTTTTTCGCGCTCCTTCCTCGCCTCGTTGCAGTTCATTCGATAAATTACCCGATTGTTTTGTGGCCATGCCATGGATAATTGAATCAACGGGATGGTTTTGAAAACTTTCCAAATAAGCGTTTGGTTGTTGCGTGTGAAATCGAAGCCAGTGCCAATTCAGTTTAATTTACTCAGATATCATTGACATTTTCAAATGTTAAATAAATCATTTTAATTAAGAACACAATCGTGATTATAATACGAAATATATGAGTCGGTTGAACAGTTAGGAGTTTCAAATATAATATATATGTATAAAATTAAATTGTCAAATTATGGCATTGTTGATATACAAATACTAAATACTACTATATAAAGTGTCTTTTTTGTATACCTTTTCTGATTTTAAAATAGTACGTTTATTTATAGATTTTTTTATCTTCCATGTGCAGCGATCTCTCGACTTCCCCCAAGCCATTTTGAGTGTTGGATTTCATGTTGGAGTCCTCATTCAAGCTGTCAGAAGTCACTTGCGGCTTTTAGGTTGGATTGTCTGCGAATTAGCTGGAGAGCAAATCACTTAAAGCGACCGCGCAGCTCAATCACAGCAGCGCCAGGAGTTTTGGGTAACGGATGACGTCAGGACATCGGGACACTGGGACATCAGGACATCGGTACATCAGGACACGACACTGGAGTCACTATCGAATGTCAGGGAGTGTGTGGCATCTTATAAATCGATATGAGTGTCTGTTGCACAGACAGCGACTGAGACTGAAGTTCGATCGTTACTCCCGCCGACAAGAGTGCCTGTCCTGGGATACACCTGAAAAAATTATCAGGACATCTATAAAACTCATAAATTAAACCTCATGTTATAATTATAATTATTATTATTTGTTATATGGTCAAATATATCGATAATTTATTGAAATATTTTGGTTTATATGTGATGCAAAATCCCTATGAATATACAAAATTATTAGGATTCATATTTTATTAGATTTAAATTCATTGAGCTACTGATTAATAATCACTGATTATCACTCAGAAATCATGGTCAAGTACAACGATGTTTTTGGATGTTTTTTGGTTTATACAAAGCTAAAAATCTCTATGAAATATGTGGGTTTTTAGGATAAATATTTTATTAATTTTAAATTTATTGAGCCATGTTTTTGTGATTATTGATCAGATCAAATTGATTATATATTTATTCTAGTGCCTTAAAAATACTTCAAAGATTAAATTACTTATATTTTTTTCTGTGCATCAGTCAGGGGTGCAAATGGGCGCAAGGGCTGTGGCATCGCGTCATCTTGTCAAATATTTCGCGCTAAATTAACACGACAGCGCGCCCAAATGGAGTAAGAAGATGTCAGCCGGGCCGAAAGGACAGACCTGGCACAGAGTCGCAAGTTGCAAGTGCCGAGTCCTCGAAGGACGAACAAAAAAAATTGGAGAAGAGTACAGCTCAAGTGGTGCAGGGGCGTTGCAAAAGGGGGTTGAGGGAGGGGTTGCCATGTGCCGGCTCCTTTGCACATACTCGTACATAACTCAAATAGCGACGCAGTTGTCTGCCCCCAAGTGTGTGTGTGTGTGTGTGTGTAAGTGCATAATTTGTTGGCTTTGTGCAACACCCCCGAGCACCCCTTCCGGCCCACCACCCCTTTGATACCCCACCCATTTGCCCCATGAAAGGCAGACGAAGCCGTGCAGGCATCAAGACAGGCCAAAAGTCGTTTGGTCGACCATGGTGAAATTAGTTGCGAACCGAAGTGAAAACTCACCCTCACCGACTAATTTATCTAAATTTTGATCTTTTTTAATTACCGTTTTATATTATTATCATCTGTGGAACTTAAAGAATACAAAAAATAACTCATTTTACATTCAAATATAAGTACAGTTTATAAAGATTTAATATCTAAAGGTAAAAACGTAAATAGTATTTAGTTTTGTTTATCAACAACCATCTTAATGCAAAAAATGTGTTAAATTGAACCATTAATTCAAGAGTTATGAGCTATTAATGTAATCGCCGCTAGGT